TTCTTAGGAAGTTCGAGTAAATATTCTTAAGAAATCCCTAAGTGAAAAAATTCTTCTAAAATATCACCAATGTATTGGGTACCTAGAAAATTTTTTATAAAAAGATTTTCCTTGCTTAGGTCCCTTAAAAAATAATAAAAAAATATATAAGAAAAAATTAATAATAATAAGGAATCAATTAGATAAGTAAAACAAAATAAGTAGTAAAGAAGATATAACATAAGGAAAAATAAATGAGGTGACTGAAAATTATTGCAACATATCATATGTTGTCATCTGCTTTTCATACAATAATTTCAAAAGTAACATGAATTTTTGACAATAGGATTCTTGAGAAGTTAGAGTAGTGATTTTCAAAAAATCCTTAGGTAAGAAAAATTTTCTAAATTATTACCGAAATATTGAGATATTTAGAATAATTTTCAAAAAAAAAAAAAACCCAACAATTTTAATCTCCCTTCTTACTTGCCCTCACCCAAACCCATCACGTACCAAGGCCTCACTAGCACCAAGTTCCACCCATACCAACCTCACTACCAAACACATTAGAGCTCACACAAATCACCAACAACCCACCCTTCACTCCAGCTAAACCGACCTCCATTACCACCAGAAAGCAACAAGCCATGCGTCAATACAACCCTCATCAGCCCCTTTAAAATAAAAAAAACAACTTCCTTGTCCAAAGAATCATTCAATTAATACAAAAATCAATCAATAAAAAAATCAACAAACCAGCTCTTATGAGTTGATACCACCACCACCACCATTGCCCCTTTAATCTGCCATTGTCATTAGCCTCATTGATCTCTCTTAATTGAAACCCTTACCTAGATTAGCCTATAGCCTTACCATCGCCTACTGCCATCACAACCCCTCTTTACCTAGCCTTGTCCACTAACCCAACAACTTCAGAGCCATAGAACCCCAGCCAAGACTCTAGCCCTTAGCACTAACACCAGTAACTACTGCCCAAATTGGCCCTACACAGCCCCATACACCACCCGATCAACCAATAGAACTTAAAAAAAAAAAAACCTAAAAACCCACAAAAAATAATCCCATTTGCGGCACCTCACTTAGACCTAAAACCTCCCTTTCTATACCAATCTTTGATAGAACCCTTAATCGACCCTTGCACATCCCAAATCTAGCTTTCACCCCAAAATTGAAGGGCTACATCCCTACTAACAACCATAGCCTAAAACCATAAACCTTTTAACTCTATTATGCCAACCAACAGAAAAAAAACTTACAATAGTCTAAAAAAATTTACAAAAAATACAACACATAAAAATGCAATCCCCTGATAGGGAACCAGTGTCATAGCCAAAATCGTCATATCGAAAAAATAGTTACAATTTATACAAAAAAATAGAAGTTTTGGTTGAAGAAGAAAAGGAAAAATTATCACAGTTGCATAAGAAGGCATGATTGGTGAAAAGGAAAAAGAAAGAAATGTAGCGACAGCGAAAGGAAGAAAGAGAAAAGGAAAAAAAAAGAGGAAAGAAAAAAAAAAGAAGAAGAATCGATGCCGGTAATTAAGGTTTTTTTTTAGGAATGAAAAGTTCTTTTTTAAGATCAAAGGGAAAATGATTTAAAAAATGAAAGCTTTTATAGTGGAATAATAATAAAAAAATTAAGCGGGTCAAACCTACCCGGCCTTATTTGTGCAACTGTCTGACCCACTTGAAAGTTTGAACCGACCCATTAACCAAGTGGCCCGCAACCCAAACTAGGCTTAGCTTTTGTTTAAGCTTGATTGCATTGTTGGATTCAACTTTTTAATAGGCCATAGATAAGACCCAAAGTTCAACCCCCATGCTTTCAATTAGGTTAGATTAAACTTATGATAAATTTATTTTAACTTAACTTAGTTACTTATTTATTTATTTATTTTCATGCATTTTTTTATTTAGATATATATTTAATTATTTTAAATTATTGATAAAAAATAAATAATAATACTTATATTTATATTTTTTGATTAAATCAAAATTAACCTTGTGAAGTTATGCTTATAAATGTAACAAAATTAATTAAATGAAAGTTTCGATGATAGGACTCTAGAAAATTCTAGTAGTGATTCTCGAGAATTTTCTAGGCAAGAAAAAATTTCTAGAAATTACGAAAGTATTGAAATTTTAGAAACTCTTTTCAATATGAAGATTTTTATTTTTTTTTAATTTGATTTTTTTAAGAAATAAAAATATAAAATATTTATAAGAGTATGCATTTTTTGAGAAAATAAATTTATTTATGTATAATTATATTATTGTATAACTTTTAAATATTATATTAAAAATATAAATAAACTATAATAAAAATTTCGAGGATGAAATCCTAAAAAAATTTGAGTAGTGATTCTTTAGGAATATCTAGGTAAAAAAATTTATTTAAAATGCCGTTAATGTATTGGAGCATGTAAAAAAAATTTTCAATGACTATTTCTCGTTTTAGTATAAAAATAAAGTTTAGAAAATATTATTTGATATTCAACAATCTGTTTATTAAATATAAATTTTAATGATAAATATGAATTGCTGAAGATAGGAATTTTGAGAATTTCAAGTACAATTTCTTAAGAATTCCTTAGGTGAAAAAGTTCTTATTAATATTGCCAAAGCATTGAAATATTTTCAAAAAATTTTCAATATGCAAGGTTCTTATTCATTTTTCATAAATAAAAAAATACTAAAAAAAATAACAAAATAAAAATATTTTTTTTACAATAAAAAAAATTAAATTTTAAATACCAAAATTAAGACCATTTTTGTCAAAATTAAAAGATAATACATAATTAATCGATACTATTTTAAATGGGCACTCTGGGAGTACTAATTCTTTCTTATGCATAATCGACTCCCAAACCCAAACTATTTTTGCAACCTAAAAATTATTTTTTTAATAAATTTTAAAATTTTATTAAAATGATAAGTTTTAATATGTGACCAATCACATTTAGAAAAAAAAATATTGTTGGCGATTCTTTTTTTTTTTTTCAAATTTGTTTAGTGGGGTGAAAAATACCATTACGACAGCTTGACAACTCCACTAGGTATTGAATTTTTTTAGAGAGTTAGGCCAAAAATTAATTATATATTACTGTCAATTTTGATTTAATGGTCTTAATTGATATTTAACTTTAATTTTTTTTATTTTGATTTTATTTTTTTAAATAAAGATAGAAATAAAAAAATTCACATGCATTTCATTTAAATTATGTTATTTGTCCATTATTTATTATATATATATATTATTCTTAATAAATTATGAGGCATGTACGATAGAAATTATGATGTCATTTTCCCTCACACACACGATGACATATTTTTTATCATGCATGAGCTCTATACTTGAACTTCATCTTTTTTAAGAAAGAGTAAAGTACTTATGCTCTTATAAAGTGATAACTTCCGCAATGGCAAGTGAAATACTCTCACTCAAATTAAACTTTTTTTATTCCTTACCTATAATGGGTGAGGATCAAAGTGACTTACTAGTCTTGCATAGATACCAGTAAGGAACAATTTAAAAGCCTTTTAAACGCGATTAAATTCAAACCAAGCATATAGTAAACCATAAGGGCCAACCCTAGGTAGAATCGTGCCACTATTTCATGAAATTACCCAGATTAGGGCACGACAGAAACATCCTTATACAATTTTTTTTAGGTGCAGAATAGTGCAAATAAAACTAAAATTTTGGAAAAAAAAAAAAAAGAGAAAAAGTGTTGGTAATCTTATATGCTTGTTTTTTCATAAAAAATATTTTCTTGAATTATTCTTAAAGCCTTTTTAGACAAATAAAAAGCAAAAACATGAAGAAAAGAGAGATTTTACCTTTTTTGTTAAATTCCAAATTTTCTTTTGAATTTAAAATCAAGTTTTTATGTAATCATTTTGTTTTTATGTTCTTAGATTTAAAAAATAAATAAAAAAGAAGTTTTAAAACTAACCAAGCTATTTAGTAGGCCTTGCAAAAATATCCAAGCAACAAAACCTGAAATAAAACGACACATCCAATAAAAATGTTTTGGTGCATATAATTAGTTCTGTGTTTGTTCAAAATTTGCATTTGTGGGAACTTGCAAAAAAGAGAGTTGTGATTTTGAATTTTATCTTTTATAGTTCATTTAATTCTTTTTGTGGTTATTTCCATCATGTTTCACATTTGGAAATGATAACGTAGTACGTGCACTCTTTCTCATACCTAAATGTTAGTGTCAGTTCTATTAGATTTGCATTGTACATGCTTTGTATCCCATGTATAAAGTATGTTAGTACATCTCATATAATTATGTTTCATCAATCATATGCATGCCTCCCTTTACTTATGTAATATGTCATTGTATTTCATACATGCAGATTCATGAATGATATGATTCTATAAAATATGCATTGTACAAATAGCATTTCATGCAAGCACACCATTTCTCATAAAATACGACATTGCATTCGATACATATACATTCACATGGTTTATATAAGCAATCATTAGGGAGAAAAAAAAAAGTTCTTCAAAGAAATCCACCATTTAACTCTTGAAAGAAACTTCTTATTATTTTTAGGCAACATTAGTAATGGAGATCTAAAAGATTTCATTTTCTTAAACAGTAATAAGTAATTTTTGCTTAAATATAAAAAAAAAAACTAAAATTAAATAATCTAATCTTTTAACGATTTATTGCAATATATTGAGTGTTTAAATTTTTATTTTTATTCAATTGAACTCGTTAATTGAAAAATTAATTAATAGTTGTCACATCTCACAATCACATGATCTAGGTATTTAATTTTCATCTAATTAAATATTTAATTGAGTGAAAATAAATATTTGATAATTTAATTGATTGTAATAAAATTTTAATAGTTTAAAGGATAATTTAATTTTAATTTAAGAGCTTTTTATATTTAAACTGTAAATTTTTTCATCAAAATTAAAAAATGAAAATGATAAAGCCATTGTTTTTTTTTTTTTTAAATCATTATATTCGAAACTTTTTGGTTATAGGGCATTATAAGTTACAACATATATTATTTATAAATTCAGAAACTAGGAACAATTCATAAATGTTTTTTTTATCGGATCATATGCATTACGGTGAGAATTCACTATAAAAATGGTAGAAAAGTAACTAGCATCACAAATTAAATCATCTACTTACCTTTGTAGGCCCTCGATCGAAAGAGAGAATATTTTTAATCTTATTAGGCTCTGGTTCATGTCCATTGCCAGGGCTAAAATTTCTTTGATCTTCCTCAGAGCCAAAACTTCTTGTCTGCCCGATATCTTCTTCAGTCTGGAAAATTTCACTGGATTTAGCATCATCAGAGTGCTGGACCTATCGCCGGATTATGTCTGCATCCATATAGAATACACGAACACCAACGCAATCCAATTGGGCGCCGGATTGAAATTGAAATGATGCCTCCACATAAGGCATGGCTTCGAGAAGCATATTGTGATCAAAGACAATGAACTGTGCATGATTGCCGCCCTCATAATAATACCTAGGTGGGAACACTGGACTACCGTAATAAATGAAAGCGTGACAATGACCGCTTGTGGTTTTCAGTTGGCATTTGCACTGAAAATCCCTTGCCCATCCGTAACCATTCATGACAACGCATAAAGCAAACCCCAATAATCTACTACTACACATGTCTGGATCTAGCTTCACAGCTATTGAAGAATCCCTGCTTTGATGCTCGAACTGTTCTAAAATTTGACATCCAGGTAAAAGACAAAGCAATTTCACTTTGTAGTAACTTGTTTCATGAAATTTCCCATTGTAGGACTCTTTCTCTACCAGCTCCTTTGCCAATTCCACTATCGGTCTCTCTACTAATTGCTTTGTAATGCACTCAATCCTGAGCAGTGTATTAGCCACAATGTTGTTGATTGCATCTCGATTCAGTTTGAAGCAATTTTCAAAAATCAAGTCAAGTCGTTTCAGTTCGAAGCAACTATCAAATACAATCGAGTCATGTTCGGGGAATGTACTTTGATATTGATCCATGAACGAAACTGTTTGTAATGACATGCAACCACATGCTTTTATTTCTTCTAGAAATGGTGGGAGCCCTAGCAATGATTCAAGTCTTTGGCATCCTGTCACTACCAATTTTTTGAGATTTTTAAGCCTAGAGATTGATGATGAGGGAACTTCTTCAATTGAAGTATTGTCCATATATATTTCTTCTATCTTCTCTGGAAAATTGGGAAAGTTGGTGATGCTGGTGCAATCAGAGAGGTAGATAACTTTCAGAGCATCCAACTCAACAATACTGCTTGGAAGATTTTGAATCCTTTTGCCCATCAGATATAATTTTGATAGATTTCTGGGAATTTCTGGAAATTCAGTGATTTGGCATTCACGAAGATCTAGATCAGTAAGAGATTCCAACTTAGAAAGATTGCTTGAAACATTTATAACACTTGACCAACTCAAAGATAACTTTCTAAGTTGTAGGAGATCGCCGATTGAATCAGATACTTCTTCAATCCCGGTGTATGTTAAATCTAATTCATTTAAATGACTTGGAAACTCAGGAAACCTTTTGAGATTTATACAATATGACAGACCTAGCTGTTTAAGAGACGTCAAACTTTTCAAGCAAGGAAGTTCAACCAGACTGCAGCAGTTGTGACACATTAATTCCTCAAGGTTTATAGCCGTTGAGAGATTTGGGATCTCGCGTAACTTAAAGCAGCCGTTGAGGTCAAGCACTCTTAAATTTTCTAGATTCTGTTTGAAAGTTGAAGATAACTAGATCAGTTTTAAGTCTCTAAATTGTAGGCCATACCAAAAATGAAGAAAAAAATTAAAGAGAGAAGTAATTAATGAATATAAAATATTAATCTTTGAATGAATAAGAAATTAAGAATACCTGGTCTCCACTCCAAAGTAGTTCGATTTTGCCATGCCTTAATCTTAATTCAACAAGGTTCTTTGGATTAAAGTTTGATCCCAAAGATTTAAATGGATAATAGTGCCAACGAAGATAGGATAGCTCAGCAGAAAGAAATTTGGGATCGTGGTTCAAAACCCACTCATCAGACGTAATATAGTAACCCAGAATAGAATTACCATGGAGCTTGATAAATCGGAGATTAGTCATCTTTTCAAAAGCAGCCAGACAAAATTGTAGTGGTTCATGGATTTCAAAGGATATCCCTATAACTGAATCTGTCACCTAACAACCAGAAGCAAATTATCAAGTATCATTATACACGCATGCATATTTATTTATTTATTCATTTAGAAGAAGAAAAAGGTTTGTGTAAAAAGCAATTAGCTCTTACCTTATCATCTTTTAACACGAGACTAACATCTTCACGTCTCCATAACCTACTGCGTTTTCGAGGATCATCCGACTCTTCCAAAACGATATTCCAACCCATTTCTTGTAGTGAATCATGCATGCAAATAATATCTTTACATGTATCAAGTAGGCACTTGTCGACTAGATCGGTTATTGCAGATCGTGCAGCACCTTTATACCAACTATCCAGTATTTTTGTTACTTGCTCTCTGTTTGCCCCTTTAAAGAAGCATGCAACATCGAGAAAAATATTCCTTTCTACCTTATCCAGTCCATCAAAACTAATCTTCAAATTATCAACAACTTCTTCTACCGGATAATTCTTTAGTTTACCCAGTTTACTTTCCCAATCTCCTTTACGCTTTTGATATAGTGCGGCACCCAAAACTTTAAGAGCAAGTGGAAGGCCTCTAGCATAATTTGCTACCATATTTGATAGATCCTGGAAATCAGCAATAGGAGTGTCTTGCCTAAAGGCAAATTTAGAAAAGAGTTTAAGAGAGTCATCCTCAGTTAACGTCGGTACCTCATGTATTTCATCAACTCCATTTCTTAATACTTGTTGATTTCTAGATGTTATAATGATTTTACTTCCAGGACCGAAATGTTCAACACATAAATATTCTATTTGGTCTGGCTTATCAACATCATCAAGGACAACAAAAAACCCTTTACTGCGGAGCCTATCTTCCATGAAGTTGGATATAAAAGGAGTGTCTATTTGGATTTGTTCCTTCAATACTCCGCTAAGAAATTCATTTCGTACAGACTTGTGTTCTTGTTTTTTGAATTTTTCACGAACATTCTGAAGAAAGTAATGACCATCAAACTCAGAATCAGAAGAGACTTCATTATAAACAACACCAGCAAGAGTTGTTTTGCCTATACCTCCCATCCCCCAAATCCCTATTGCTCGATGCATACGTACCAAAGATACAATTTTCTCCTTCTGATCATCTATCCCAACCAATTTCTGATAACGACTACTTGGAGACTTGCTCTTCAACTTATCCAAAACTTCTTTAACGATTTTCTCAATGTGTTCAGATTCAGATCTAATAAATAAAATAGAAGGAATATAATTTTTTTCATAAAGAAAACAAAAACTTAATTCAACATCATATACAATATGATATCAAGGAATTACGAGATTCAAAACAGAAAATTAGTTGAAAAACAAGTAACAAAGTAACAAAGAATTACAAAATTCAGATAACATAAAATTAAATCAAGAAAGGAAGAAACAGTTACCTGTGTGAGTTTCCCACTATATGACAACCTTTCACTTCGGCTACTTTAGCCAAAGAATCCTTCCATTGCTTTACGTCAACGCCCGGCTTCTTTCTTTGATGTTCTTCAAAGGATTTTTTAAAATTTTCACTAAGTTTTCGCACATCGGACGGGTCAATATGGTAGAAAATGGGCACCACAATAAGCTGTTCCTCAGTATACCAATCCATGATATTAGAGAGTTCTCTCAAGCACCATGAGGAAGAAGCATATCCTTCAGATAAAATGATTATGGCTATCTGTGATTCTTCTATTGCTTTCAACAGTGCTTGAGAAAGTTCCTCTCCCATTGTCAGATTTTCTTCATCGTAGAAGACGTTGATTCCACGGTCTTTCAAAGCTTTGAGTAGATGACTAGTGAAGTTAAGGCGAGTTTCTTCACCTCTGAAGCTCAGAAAAACTTGATGCTCTGGTTGACGAGAGGAGGAAGAAGAAGAAGAAGAAGAAAAAGAAGAAGCCATGAAAGAGTAAAATTGTAAGACAAAAGAAACAGTAAATCCAGTGGTTGAGACAAAAAGACACAAATGAAGCGTTGCTAGTCTTCTTTTATTTTCAATCCTTTGAATAAAAGTTTTAACTAAAAAAAAAAAAAAAGTTTAACGTTTCCATGATTTTTGCTATCACGACAAAGCTTATTTATTACATTAATATTTTCAAAAACTTTAATTTAATCACTTTTTGGTAAATGGTGTCCAATCGTACGATAAAATAATGCAATAAGAGAACCTCAAAGTCAAGTCTTTAGATATGGTGTTCAGATTCTATTCCTAATATCCAAAGACCCTGACTTTGAAGACCTTGACCTTCACAATTGAGAAAAAGCAAGCACGAGAAAAATCAAGCATACGCAGGTTCGACCTCAATTTTCATTGTCTTAAAAAAACATAACAATCGCTAAATAAAAGTTAAAATTATTAAAATGAAAGTGAAGAGTGTATATGCGTATTAGTTCCGAGGATTATACCAGTCAAGCATACAAGGGGAAACGTATCGACCATAGCTAGAGAGCTTAAAGCTGAAAGCATATTTAATCTCGGACAGAATTATGAATTTAATTGAGCATTCCTTATTAAAAAAACGCATATACACCCTTCATTTTCATTTTAATAATGGAGTATCAAAAATTTCCAGAACTCGAATTCTTATAAAAAATTTCCAGAACTCGAATTCTTATGAAAAATTTGAGCCTTCGATTCAGTCATTTTCGTATGATACTTCCAGTTGGATTCTATTCCAGAAGTCCTTCCCATGCATTTCAATTTCCTTGAATGTTCATTACCGACATTAATTGCTTACATATTCATGGTATTTGTTTTTTTCATTTTGTTTCTATGTGCTTTTTGAGACACCCAACCATGCTTGAGGAAAAGTAGAAATCGGTTTAAGTTCAATTAATTTATGTAATTTTTTATAAGTAACTTGCAGTTATAATAAGATTTAAATCTTAATATTTACTTTTTTTATTTTTAAATTAAAGGAACAAGCCAAAAAAATTTATGAAAGGATAATTTCGTAAAAATATAATAAAAGAACAAGACAAAGAAAAAAATGATTGAGGGATAATTTCCTAAAAAAATAATCAAACATTTCAATTCAAGTACCAGTGCAATTTCAGCTTATCAAATCACATTTCAGCATTTTGTTATAGCTTTGAGCAGCATCCTTGTGATCGAAACTTCAATTCAATGGGCTTTCTTTCCAATTAATTTCATTTGATCACGTTTCATTTGCATTTTTAATTTTTAATTTTAATGTTTTAAGCATTTTGTGAATCTTAAAAAGATTTTTGGTTTGATAGTCCTTTAAGAATAGCAAATCGTTGGACAAAAATTATTTTATCACCTTATGACTTCGCAGGATGAAAGTCATTTAAATCATGCTTAAGTTTAAAATTAATTAACTCGTTTTATCTATTTTACTGTGATGAAGATAATCAAGCAATTTTGTAAAATATTTTATTAATAAATTTTTAATAAATCATAAAATATGATGGTGATGTTTCACATGTAGTAAAAATATAAATATAACATATAAATTTTTTATATATGATCAATGTAAATTTTTAATTCCAAAAACGATATTAAAAAATTAACATATATCTCATTTTTATTTTTAATTAATTTTTTATTTTTTAAATATATCTTAAATGTATGTGTCATGATTCTTTTAATTTGGCTTATAAAATCTAAAACAATTAGACATATCAAGTTAAATTTTTATGAATAATTTTCCTTTTAACATTGTCTTATGACTACATTATGGATCGATTATTCAACGTTCCAATTGAATATACTTAACAAAATTTAATTAAAAAATTATAATTTTTAAAATTAAGACTTACATACTTCAACATGATGTCAAGCCATTTCTAATTCTTTGTACGAATGTTTAAATGATATAAAATCTCGAAATCAATTTTTATAAATAACATATTTTTATATTTTATATAATTTTTAAGCATGAAGGATGAAGATTAAGCCAACTACTTAATTAAATATTTTTAACAAATTCATTTTTCAATTAAAAGGTAATTTATGAAAAGTTACAAAAATAAACAAATATTATATTCATATAATTAATTAAATAATTAATTATTATATAATCATTAAATAATCAACTAACAAATTAAAACATAACTAATAAAATTTCTGTAATCTTTTTATCCTATTAAATTTTCTTATTTCCTTTTACATTTTGCATTTCATTTTGGATTAGAGTTTTCATTTCCTTAGATAGATACGCAAACATACTAATATATACATATATGTATATATATATATATATATATATATTTTATATGCATTGCTACGCAATAAATTTTTTTATCGGTTTTGGCTTTCGTACTTGCTGCTAATAAATTGCACCACCAATAAATATAATACAGCTCAAGACTCATCACTCTAAGTAGCATGTTTGCCATTCCCTCCTCCAGCTGGACGGATAGGATTACACACATAAATTGTGTATATATGGATTTTTGTTAAATGTATTTTTAATTGTCTTAGTTTGTCAAATTCTTATATATGTACTAAGTTTGTGAAGTTGTTATGTGTATATAACATTTTCATATATTAATATTTAGATGTAAATAAAAGTAAAATATTGTTTTTTTTTTCATCGATGTAGGGTTTCCAGAGGTAAAGAATGCTTGTTGCATTGATCAATTTAGAAATCAAACCATAGACCACATTAGGGATGGCATTGGTACCCATAAATGGGTATATGAAATTACTTGATTTAATTAAGATTAAAATATTTTATAATCGGTTCAATAAGATTCAAGTAGTAAAATTATTATCCATCATTGATTCAGGTAAAGTTTGAGTAATGATTTTTGGATACCCACTATTCGAATCAAATTATAAATAATATATTTTGTGATATTATATTTATTTTTATTTATAAATTATTTATTATTAATATAATACTTAATTAAATTAATTCATTAAATATTTTTATTATGATTTTTAACTTTAATTTATTATTATGAGTTAATTTAATTTATTAATTTAAAATTTTGCAATAATATATATTAAAATTGATTCTAAATTTAAGTTTGAAAGTGAAATTTTAACTTAATAAGCGAGTATTTAATATGTTTAGGTAATTAACGAATATTTTTACATTATATGACTATGATTTGAGTAATAAAAATAAAAAATATTTGAATTATTATCGGATTCGAATATTTTGATAAATATAAGGATTTGAATCTGGATATCTCAAAAATAATGATACCCTACTCGTTGGCATTCTTAGGCCACATGCTCCAAACTTAGAATCATGCAAAGAAAGAAGTATACTTTGATGAATATCATCCTAGTATGCATGCGTTTTGTAATTACAAGTTTTTTTTTAAGGATTTAACCAGGGCAACCTATTCATTTTGCCAACCTTACTCACACCCAAAACTATTCTTTTATCTTTTAGTAAGTTATCCTGCAATAATCACTTGTTTTGGTAAGATATCGGATAGAAATCTTATCAAATAGTGGACAAAATCTTTCCGGCGACAAGATAATATATATATATATATATATATATATACATATATATATATGTATTTCTCAATACCTGTGAAACAAAAAAAAATTTATAAATCTTGTTTGTTTGGTAAGTTATCCTGCAATAATAGCCGATTTTGATAAGTTACCTCATAGGAATCTTCTCAAATATTGTAACAAAATCTTCCCATTTATTAATGTGAAGAGATACTTATTATATTTGTATTTCCCTATGCTTATAAAACACAATTCTAGCCACATCTCTATACATTGACAAAATTGACTAGCAAAAAATAAGATGCCTAACCATTAAAAAAAATAAAGCTTAAAATGGTAGTTGATTATAAGAATTTGTGTGCACAATGATGTATTTTTTTGTTGTTCATGGCAATTTAGAAAAGGTGAGAAGAACCTGTCAGTAAGACATCTAGATAAATGAAAAAAGATTTCTTTTGAATTTTGAAGGAAATCTCACTGTGGACTGATAAAATCTGCAGATTCATTTCTTGTGGATTTTTTAAGAAGATCTCATTGTAGATGAGGGGACACTTTTTGTGGATTTTAAAGAAAATCCTCAAGACCAAGTTTTTTAAAGTTCATTTTTATTCTTTTATTCTTATTTTGTTTAATTCTATAAGTAGCTTTTATATCTTAATTATAAAGATTGATTAAGAGTTTGACGGCAATGTTATTTTAGCATTACCAGCAAGGAGAAATAATCTTCTCAAATCAAACAAAGTTAAAAGCATCGAGCTTCCTCAAAGTTTTGAAATTTCTTTTTTTGATTGGATTATGGAAGGTAATTTTTTTATAATTAAATTTACAATAACAGATGATAGAAAAATAAAAAAAAATAATTTGAGTTTATGATCACATTTTTAGTTATACATTTGGCTCAAATATCTGCACATAAAAGCCAGTTACTCGGTTTGTTTGATTGCCAACATCCAATTTGGTCAGCAAAAAATATACTATGAAAATCCAAAAGTAAGATCAAAGATAGCAATGATTCCAGTTAAATTGGAAGAACATTTCGAACTTCAAAGTTGTCAACAAGGATGAAAAGTTAAAATAGCTGTTAAAGTTAGCATAAGAGATTTTGCCAATGCAAAAGCTCAATGACATTGATATACAGCATTTGTTTAACTTTGGGAAATCATCAACATACACAAAATTCAAGTTTCTTGTTACACTACGTCGCTTAATTTCCATTCCTACATCACACTTTAAACAATTAAAATTGTGTAAAGCAAATTAATTGAATTTAATACTTTATTTTTCAGGTTTTGCAATGCCTAATGTTTATGGGAAAATCAGTTCGAAGACATCCTAGAATATGATATTGAAGATTTTAATTTAATGTAGATATTGAGGAATTAGAATATAATCTAATTGAAAAAGATAAAAGAAAATAATTTTATCTATATAATAGGTCAAATTATGTCATAGGTCTTTATATTTTACGAAATTTAAAATTTAGTTCTTATGGTATAATTTATATAAATTCAATTCTTATATTATTTTAATTTGATAATCTTAATTTAATTACTAATTTCATCAATTTTTTGCTATTAAAATGCAGTGTGGCTATTGACCTGATGATATACATGTTGACTCTGTTGATGTGACATTACATGCTAATGTGACAATTGGAATAGATAAAATTAGTTGTTAAATTATCTAAATGATTTTTGTATTAATACGAAATTTAAATATTAGTTACTGTCCTCATATGAAATTTAAAATTTAATCCCTATACTTACATAAAATTTGAAATTTAATCCATTTAATATAAAAAAATAATTTTAATTTTTTAGAAATTTCTTAGTTTTTTAAAATATTAAATTTAAAAATTTTTTACAATATTCTATCACAATATTCTATCACAATTTTTGTGTATTAACATTAAATCCATCACAATTTTTTGTCAATAATGTGAAATATTATTATTAATTTTGTCATTACATCTAGTTACATTCCGTCATAAAATTTAAAATCTATTATTAATTTTATCACACTTTTTTGTCACAATTATAATATATTGTGGTTATATGGAAAAAAAAATCTTACATAAATCTATTAAAATTTTATCATAAAATTTTCAATATATGATACAAATTTATTACTATCTAATTTTAATAAAGATATTACTTTTATTATTAATTTCTTAAATGAATTAGAATTAGAATTAGAATTCTATCCAACAAGTGTAAAATTATCCATCAAACAATGTTTTTATTCCTTTAAATTAAATCCTATTTAAACTATTTTTATAGTCAAATATAAATTCAAGATTCAAATACATTAAAATAATTTACTAAACTTGATTTGTATTAGTTTTTGATTCAACCTTATTATTTAATTTAACATAACTATTTTGATAAGTTCTTGTTGTGAAAACCCCAAAAAAATTAAAAGTTTTCATTATGATAAATGATATTAATGCTTTGGTTTATCAAATAAATCATTTTCTCATTTCTTTTTATTAGGATTTAAAATTTGTCCTTCAAATTAATAAAACCTCATCTCACATAAAAATCTATATTTTAATCTTTTATTTTGTTTAGTTGGATTGAATGATCATTCCATTTATGATCCATTTCGGGTTTATTATAAATGTAACTCTATTTAATAGTTTGGTTCATTATAAATTTTGCTATATGATATATTTAAACTAACTAAAATAATATTAGTTTTGATATATTAATTTAAGTTATTATATTAAAATTTATTCATATAAATGATAATAATATTACTATTAATAAGATATTATTAATAATTAATTATATAAAATAAAAATAATATATTTCTAAAAGTATAAATTTTTTTTATATTAGAATGACTAAAATATTTTTTAAATTTAATGTTTTTGAAAAACTAAAAAAATTTTAAAATATTTAAAATATTTTCTAGAGTTAAATATAAAAATAACCATTGAACTCTACACTTGCTATCAGTTTAGTACAAAAAAATAAAATTATCAATTTGATATTTCAACTTTCATTCTGTTATTATGTTAGTACCTCAGACTAATGTCATCAGTATAAAATACTGACATAAACATTTAATAAGATGCTAACACATGTCAACAAAGTTCAATGAGCATCACATTGTTAATGCCACATCAGCATAAAAAGAAAAATTAAAAAATTCTAAACAATGTTTAAAAATTTTAAAAAAATTTTTAAAATTCATAAATTTTTTAAAAAATCTAAAAATTTTAAAAATTTTAAAAATTTATAAACTAAATAATAAATTCAAAAACTTTCTTAAAGTTTAGAAAAATTTTTTTAAATATTTTAACCATTTTAAAAAATTAAAACAATTAAAAATTTTAAAAATACAAAAATTTTAAAAAATTTAATTCTAAAAAATTTAAAAATTTTAAAAATCTCAAAATTTTTATAAAAAATCCAAAAATTTTCAGAAAAATTTTTGAAAAATTTTAAAAATTGAGCGTTTAATAAAAATATCTTTTCAAAACTTTAATAAAAAAATCAAAAAAAATTCAAAACAATTTCCAAAAATTCAAAGAAATGAAAGTTTTAGTAAAAATAAAATTTCCTAAAATTAAAATTTTTTTAAAAAACCTTTAAAATATTTAAAACAAAAAATAAAAATTTTTTATAAAAATCTAAAAATTTTTAAATTTTCAAAAAATTCTAAATATTTTTCATTTTTTGAATTTTACTATTTTAATTCTTTAGATATATTTTTTAATTTTGCAAAATCTTTTTTTAATTTTTTTGTATTTTTATTAAATTTTTAAATTTTTTTAATTTTAGAATTTTTTTCAAAATTTTTAGAATTTTTTTGAAAATTTTTATATTTTTCAAAATTTTTTAGATTTATTTAAATTTTCTAAATTTCTCAATAAAATTTAGATTTTTTTAATTGTTAGTTTTAAATTTTTAGAATTTTTTTAGAATTTTTATGAAGTTTTATGAATTTTTTTAGAATTTTTATAATTTTTAAACGCTTATCACAAATTTTTTAATTTTTCAAAATTTTTTATAATTTTTAAAATTTGTTAGAATATTTTAATAATTTTTATGAATTTTGTAAAAATTTAAAAATTTTTTTAATAATTTGTAAAGAATATTTTTAGAACGTTTTTATAATTTAAAAAAAAATTCATATTTTTTTAAAATTTTCTTTTTTGGCTAATATGGTATTGATGATCTAATATTAACTAAATATTTTTTTATACGTGTCAATATCTTATTAAATATTTAGGTCATGTCAACATTTCAAATTAATAATATTAGTTCATAATATCAACGTGATAACAAAATAAAAATTTAAGTACCAAATTAATAATTTTATTTTTTTATATACAAAATTGACAAAAAAATATATAATCCAAAAATTATTTTTATATTAACTCTATTTTTTATTATTAAAAAATTAAATTTTAAATTTCATTCAAGTTCATAAACTAAATTTTAAATTTTGTATAAGTAAAAAAATCACTTACATAATTTAATAATGTATTTCATCCATCCCAATTAAAACCTCATAAAGTTAATGTCACGTTAACAAAATCAATACCCATATAATTAAATCAACAATCACATCAACATTTTCTAACGATAAAAATTTGACAAAATTAATTATTAAACTAAAATTATTAAATCAAAATAATATAAGAGTTAAATTTATATGAATTATAATAAAAAAATTAAATTTTAAATTTTCACAAAATATAAGTACATCTTACATAATTTGACCAAAATTTTATGTGCTATAGAGGATTATCTCCAAGTTATCGTACCTTTGTCACTAACCTCTCCAATATAGAAATTCCAAACATTATTCATGAAGCTTTGAAAAAAAAGAAAAAGGGAAACACCAAGAACGGAGAACATCAATTGGAAAATAATGGTTCTTACTTGGGAACTCTTAAATTTACCAGAAGAAAAAGAACTTATAGGATGCAAATGGATCTTCAATGTCAAATACTAGTCACATGGAAGTGCAGATCGAGATAAAGAAAGGTTCGTCGCAAAAGGGTTCGCTGAGACCTACGAGATTAATTACTAGCAAACTTTCGCCCCTCAATATCTTGTTGTCTCCAGCAGCAAATTTAGATTGGCATCTTCACCAGCTAGTCTTTGTATATTCTACAATTTGATTTCACATTATTGAGTGATCAATTTTACATACCAATATTTACAGCAACTTTAGGCTACAAGTCCAACTGTAACATGTCGGCATCAGGATTAAAGCTCTTCGAGTTTGATGAATGCAGCAGGGATGCTTCACTAAAATATCTTGACAAGATCAGCCTCGCTACATTCTCAGCTGCAACGGCACTTGTCTCCATGGTACTAGCTGCATTCTCAAATGCATTCACATAGTACAAATGTTGACCATCCAAAATAAATGGTGCGAATACTTCCGAAGCATTGTAAATGAGGATAGGCTCCCCAATTTACTCGAATTGTTTGCTGCCTTGCACTAACAATACCAGCAAATGACAGCCATCAGCATCAATTATGTAAACGTTTTGAATCAATGTTTAAAGTTTTAATAACAAGGCCTTGCCACGCCTTATGGCTCAGAAGGGTGGGACAAGGAGGGTAGGTATAGAGTATGAATCCTAGAACATTGAATATATATCAACTCCCAATTCTCCAAATTTAAGACAAAGGCTAACTCGGACAAGGTATTGATAATTGGTTGTTTCCCTAATGCAAGAGAAACCTGCAAGGAAAATGGATTAACACTACATACATCTCAGCTACATCTGCATCGTGGGTACCCATGCTCTAAATAAAGGTCTAAATCTTCATAAAGCATATAAGAAGCAGGCCCAGATACTTTCTGCAATACAACCATCTAACATAAAGAGCACAAATCACATTAAATCGGCAAGCCATAAGATAAAGCATTTAGCCCAAGTCAAAATCATGCTGCAAAAAGAACTCTCTTAGGCAAAATTGTTTTACGGACTATAAGATCTCTTTCCCAGACCTTACACCCAGGTAAAAAGCTAAAGAGTTAATAGAAAATATTACCTAAGAATGCTATCCAGCAATGCATCTACCATTGGTTCTCGAGAAAATACTTTGTAAGTTACATCTTTTTCCTCATGTTGCTTGAGAACTGAAATGCTCAAGAATGGAAGGCCGGGATCCTCTACTGTGCCAACCAGTTTTGGAATCTCTGCAGCAGCACCCAGGCCAAAATATGCCTTGCCATGAGAAAACACAAATATTATAAAGGAACAAAAGCAGCAGGTCAGAATAATAAGAAATCAAACATTAGTTTAGAAGTCCACTACAGAAAGCCATTAGCAACTCCCAAAATACTCACTGGATTCAAGAGGCCTCTCACAAAAGTTGCATGTGTATGCTGCAATTTCCTCTCAGGAATTGAAATTGAAGGTGTAAATTGGATATTTACTTCATCAAGGGGTGGAGCAACTACTGTGACTCCACATGAATAACTGTTTCCTTTTGTGGAGTTAAGTTCATAATATTCTCCAAGGTAAGAGATGGATTCTATTTCTTCATTCAGGTGCAAAGAGACATCAGAATTATTAATTAGTCCTGCAGCCATCTGCCAGTTCCCTCCTTCAATGGACCATAATCCTCCCCCAGATCCTGCCAATGAAACTGCCCCAGCAAGTCCACTGATATAGACACTTTGACCATAATTGATTCTTGTTATGACCTTCACAGTGCAACATAATTATGATTTGTTATAACTTCTCAACAGTCAGCCTATTTGGGGCCAATTTCAAATTATAACATACAGGTTAGAATTTTGAGCCATCCCCAGATCCTTAATTAGAATTACAAGTTAATTTTCCAAAGACACCATAACATCCCTCCCTTGGAATGACTCCAACAGAAAGTAACTGATAGAACTTGGCTTCGGCAAATCTAAATTTACTAGATAAGATCTGTTTGTTATAGGAATGAATATTATGGACTCCCTTGAACCAAATGCAACAGTTTGCAAATGTCTTGTTCATGTCTTTAAAGTAAAACCCATACAAATAATACCAAGTAATTTGAAAGAAAGTAGCTATTTGTAGAAAACTTAAAGAACAATTATCCTCATTTCTTTTTATTCAATCTACAATGAAGGATTATGTCTAAATAAATAGGAACAATGAAGTTCCTTATTAGGAAACAACTTACATGAAACAGAAAATAAAAAAATAATAAAAGGAAGGAAAATTATTCTATTCTAGAATAGAAACAAATCCCTAAAAACATGACAATCAAAATAGTCGACTAAATCAGAAGAGTAAATGAGAAATATTCTCAAAATAAATTAGAAATCAAGCTGCACTAACGTAGGAGAATCAAACCTACACTAATGTAGGAGAATTAGATTTCTACACTCCCCCTCAAGCTAGGTTATGAATGTTAATCATACTCAACTCGAATTTCAAACCATCAAAAATGCTCCTAGGAAGAGCTTTAGTCAAAATATCTGCAAGTAGTGAACTTGTAGGGATATAGGCCAATTTGACCAACCCATTTTCTATCTTTTCCTTTATGAAATGTCTATCCAACTCTATGCGCCTATAATGATAAACAGGATTTTTGGCAATACTTATAGTAGCCTTATTGTCACAAAATAGTGTCATAGATGTCACAGTTTAAACTATTAATTCTCCAAGTAACCTCATCAGCCAAATTCCTTCACAAATACTATGGGACATTGCTCTAAACTCAGCCTCAGCACTGCTCCTAGATACAAAAGCTTGCTTTTTACTTCTCCAAGTGACCAAATGTCCCCAAACATAAGTGCAATATCCAGTAGTGGACCTTTTATTTGTTACTAATCCAGCCCAATCAGCATCTGTGTACACCTCGACTGCCCTATTCATTGACTTCTTAAAATATAGAACTTCACCAGGACTCTTCTTTAAGTACTATAGGATGCGATGAACAACTTTAAGATGCTCATTGGTTGGATTATTCATGTATCTACTCACCATCCCTACCGCAAACCCAATATCAAGTCGTGTGTAGGAAAGGTAAATAAGCTTCCCAACTAGTCTTTGGTATCGCCCTTTGTCATGAGAAAGCTTCCATTTTCACTTCCAATTTTATTAGTTGAGTCCATAGGTATATCGGCTGGTTTGCATCCGATCATGCGGGTTTCTTTGAGTAGATCAAGTACATACTTACACTAAGACATTGATATTTCATTCTTAGACCAAGCCACTTCAATTCCAAGGAAATATTTGAGGAACCTCAAGTCCTTTATTTCAAACTCCTTTGAAAGGAGTTTCTTCAAATCATGTATTTCCTTCCTTATGGTTTCCGGTGATTATGATATCATCCACATAAACAATAAGAATAACTCCTTTTCCTTCATTAGTGAACTTAACAAACATAGTAAGGTCAGATTGACATTAAAAAAATCCATACCTTTTCATTGCCCTAGTCAACCGTTCAAGCCAAGCCCGAGGAGACTGTTTAAGTCCATATAAAGATTTTCGGAGTTTGCATGCTTTGCCCATGTTGTCTTGCCTTTCAAAACCAAGGGGAATTTCTATACATCCTCCTCCAAGTCACCATTTAAAAATGCATTCTTGATATCAAACTGGTGGAGAAGCCAAAGTTGGTTGCTAGTGACAATGGAACTCTAACTGAATAGAGTTTGGCTACCAAAGCAAATGTCTTCTCATAGTCTATCCCATAGGATTAAGCGAACCCCTTTGCAACAAGTTTAACTTTGAACTTGTTTATACTTCCATCTACATTGTGCTTTATTATGAAGATCCACTTACATTAAGCGAGTTTTTTCTTTTGAGCAAATCTAAAATTTTCCATGTCCCATTTTTCTCTAGTGTCTTGATTTCTTCAAGAACTGCTGGCTTTTAATCTGGTTCATTGAGGGCTTCGTGAATATTTTTTGGAATTTGCACATTGTCAAGGTTAGTAGTAAAGGATCGAAAGTTTGGATTTAATCTGTCATATGAGATGTACTTGCAAATATGGTACCGAGTACATGATCTCACATCTTTTCTTAATGCAATAGGAATGTTAAGGCCACCAATTGGCTCACAAGTTTTAGTTTCAGATTCATTAGGGACATTAACTGTGTTGGTTTCAGGTTCATGGAGACTCAGATCTGGTTAATTTTTAGTGCTGGGCTATGTAAGTTGTCCACTTCTTTCGGTAATTTTGCTTTCTTTAGTAGACTACAGTTCTTTTGTTTTTTCTTGCATAACCTTAGGGTTTGTAGATTCAAGAGTTGTCTGAACAAGTTGGGTTTCGAAATCTACATGGCTGATAGGTTGAGTAGGTTGAGAATCTGGTTTTGAAAAGGTTGGCTGAGATTCTGGTTTTGAAAGGGCTAGTTGGGAATCTGGTTTTGAAGGGGTTGGTTGGAAAATTGGCAAGTCAACAGCTAAGAATTGATATTCTTGAGTAATATTCTCCCCCCGAATATCATTCTTGCTGTAGTATGGAAGATTTTCAAAGAAGGTGACATCCATAGAGCTATAGAATTTTTTTCTGATAGGTGAGTAACACGTATAGCCCTTCTGGTTTGGGGAATAACCAAGGAATATGCATTTTAAGGCTTTGGGATCAAGCTTGCTACGATTTTGTTGGCTAATATGAACAAAGGCAATGTAGCCAAAGAGTTTGATGGGAATGGAAGAAATCAACCGAGTTTGTGGGTAGGAAGCAATGAGAGTTTGACAAGGTGTTTTAAAGCCAAAAACTCGAGAAGGCATTCGGTTAACCAAATAGGTTGCAGTGAGGACAGCTTCTCCCAAAAAATATTTAGGCACATTGGGAGTCAACAAGAGGGGTCTGGTCATTTCTATCAAATGTATGTTTTTACGTTCGGCAACCCTATTTTGTTGTGGAGTGTCAACGCAAGATCTTTGATGGATAATGTCATAATTGGTGAGGTAAGGGCCGAGAACAACATTGAAGCATTCCCTTCTATAAGAAATACCCAAGTGAGTCGAGTATGATCATCGATGAATGTAACAAACCACTTAGAACCTGTGATATTGTTAACTCTTGACGGTCACCAAATGTAATTGTGAATCATTGAGAAAGGCTAAGATGATTTATAGGAAAGGTTAGGGTAGTTATTTCGAGTGTGCTTGGAAAGTTGACAAACTTTACACTAAAAATCTTTAGTAATGTTATTGAATAATGAGAGAGATAGCCTTTTTAGGTATGAAATATTTGGATGTCCTAATCTATAATGCCATAACATGATAAGGTCATCCTTACTAGTACTAGAGGCTAAGGTTGTACAAGAGTTTTGTGGTCTCTCAAGTGCATCATCTTGAAGAAGGTAGAGCCCTGCACACATCCTAGCACTACCAATAATCTTCCCTGAGCCCAATTCCTAAAATTCACACAAGTTGGGGAAAAATTTTGTAACACAACATCTATCCTTCGTAAGTTTACTGATGGAAAGTAGGTTACAGCTTAAATTAGGGACATGGAGAACAGAGTTGAATGTTATGTCTTTTGAAACTACAACAGAAACCTGTTCCTGTCACTTTTGAAAGAGAGCCATCAACAATTTTTATAGCAGAACTATCATAGCAAGGTCTATATGTGTTGAATAAGGATGTATCTCCAGTCATGTAATTTGATGCTCCTAAATCAACAATCCAAGATTGTGTATTTTTCCGTTGAACACTTAAGGTGTTTAGGAAATTACCTTTTTGTGCTAGTAAACTAGTTCCAAAGGTTGCAGACTTATTTTTAAGGGTTTGTTGGAGCATCACCTCTTTGTGACTTTCCTCATGCTATGCCTCTGCAAAAGAAGAGTTCTCACTCCTACTAGCCATAATGGAAACTCGTGTGGTTACAATCTAATGGTTCAGGCCAACTTGCTCTGATACCATGCAAAAAACTTAAAGAACAATTATCCTTACTTCTTCTTATTCAATCTACAATAGAGTACATCTAAATAAATAGGAACAGTGAAGTTCCTTATTAGGAAACTGTGGGAAAACACTTATTTACAGCTTGTTGTAATCTTGTAATCCGTATATTTATATTTGTATCTCTAGAATTAAGTATTTGTATCCCTAAAATTAAGAACAAAAAATTATGATAGACAATCCCTCAATTATAGGATCAGTTTCAAGAAGATTTAGTTTCCTAATTTTCCCACTAGTTAGTTGTATATAAACCTAAGGTGCTTGTATAATTCTTTATGAGCAGTTTTTTAATATACATTCAGTTTCACTCTTAGTTTTCCACACAATTTTATTTCTTAGTTTTTCCACAGAAACAACTTACATGAAACAGAAAATAAAAAAAATAATAAAGAAAGGAAAATTATTCTATTCTAGAATAGAAACAAATCCATAAAAACTTGACAATCAGAATAGTCGACTAAATCAAAAGAGTAAATGAGAAATATTCCCAAAACAAATTAGGAAATCAAGCTGCACTAATGTAGGTAATTTCAATAGGTGAAGCAGCTTCCAACAGGTTCATAGACAATATGAGCATGGATCTGCAAATTATAGTTGTCCAACTTTATGGATTCTTATTACAGTGAATACCACATTGCATAGCAGATTGCAACCTTAAATAACTAGGTAATGTAATGACAACCACTTGAATCATCAACAAAGAACAAAAGACAAAGACCTAACTACACACGTTCTTGCATCAAGTTAAAACCATAGAGGAACAGGTCAGTGGGTTTTTTTTTTTTTTTGGTTAGGTCAGCGATTTTAAGAATGACAAAAATGCAACATTAAGTTGTTATAAATATATATATTGGAGTTAATATACCTTTATTAGGTGAGAATTTTGTCATTGTTCTTTCCAATTTTTTGGTTCAGGACTTCTAGAATCTTGTTCCCATCACATAGTTGATGCAGTAACTTTTCACGGACAACAAATATCATGGCATCCTAAGAAAGTTTGTTCCAACACATCTATCAAAAGGCATTTAGTAGAAGGCAATGATTTTTAACTCAAGATATCAGTACCACTATGTAAAAACTATTCCAGATAATTCTTAAATTATTTACCATTCGCAATGGATAATTTAATTGTAAAGAAATGAAAATCTCCCAGAACATTTTAATCAGAAATATCCAAGCTTTCATAAAAGATGAGCAGCCTAAGCAGATTGTAGGGTGTATATTAGAGGGAGACAAAAGGTAGTCTTTTATCAATTTGAAGGTAATATCAAGATCCGAATCCTTTCCAAAGGAAACTAACTATATTCTCAAAGGTAGTACCAGTTGTATCAACTCTAGGAACCACATGCTACCATTTAGATTGAGAGCAAAACACACACATCATTCTGGGAAAAAAAAATCTCAACACATCAAATAGAATGTAGAAAGACAAAAAGCGCAAGCAACTTAGAATTCTTACGGTGACAAGCTCTTCTATCAATAAGGGAGACAACTTGGTGTCAATGAGTTCATCTTGCAAAGTTCGAGTTGTGAGATCATATAAACCAGCCCATTTAAGCATCTCATCCACTGTCTCAAAGACGGGTCTCATTTCAGGGCTTTCATAGTACTTTAAGAAGTTATCCAAAGTACTCTGCACAACAACACCACACCAGTTTCAAATTAGGAAGTAGAAACAGAGATAATCAGGCTTCTGTCTCATTGCTGCTATTACTATTTAATGTTTGCTTCCACAAAAGTAACTAATAAAATGCAAAATTATAATTGATTAAAAGTGAACAAATGGCACAAATGTGAAACTAATTCCAATTCCAGCATAATTTTTTTGTACAAAAGTCAAGAAAAGCCAAAAAATAAACCTTTCAATTTTAAACCCGTAACACCATTTCAAAACGACTGCACAGTTTAAAATTTTAGTAAAACTGAATATGAATTTGATAAAACAAAAAAAAAAGTATTTTGTGTTCGACATGTTAACATAAATTGTGACGCATTTACACACGTTAATTACAAAATAAACAAACACGAATATACAAATTATAAGGTGTAGCAAAAAAAATCATAGTACAGTAGGAGAATAACTTTGTTTCTTATGTGCAAATTAAAAAAGACAGGCAATCATAGAATAGAAGGAAGTAAATTGAAACCTCAACGAAGCTATTCATCTTGAGAAGGGAGAAGCCGTAGCGGAAGAACAAGTAAAAAGAATTGACAAAAGAAACAATTTTCTGCACCATTGGAAATTTGGAATCAACTTGAAGGGTTTTGAAAACAAACTTCTTCCCATCCCAAATCCCGAACGACATCGAATCATCATCCTCCGACGTAGACGGCGGTTTCATCTTCAACCCAAGAAGCTTCGTGTAGTTAAGCGCGTGGTAGTTCTTGGGATGAAGAATCGAAGCACCAGCCTCAAAAGTGTCGCCGCCAACTTTGATTGTGGCCATGCGACCACCGACGATGGACCTACGCTCAAAGATACTGATGTTAGGAGGACTGGGTTGGGAAGGTGTAGGATGGAAGCAGTGGCGAAGGAAGTGGGCGACGGGAGAACCGCCGATGCCGCTGCAGACGATGCAGACAGTGGGCGGAGTTGGAGCATCGGTGGATACGCAGAAGATGAGAGGTTTTAAAGAAAGGATTAGCAGGATATGGAATCTGAAACTGAAACTGGATTTGAAAAACTCTTTTTTTTGTTCTTCTCAACTTTTTCTTGTCGATGTTGTTGGTAAGCTAGCAGTACGTTAAAATACAGGGTGAATGAAATATTTAATTAAATATTTAAATTTTAAAAAATTTTATATAATATTTAAATTATAAATTTATTAATTAATATATTATTTAAAATTAATTTCATTAAAATAAATATCATATTAATTAAAAATTTTATAATTTAAATATTATATTAAAATATTTATATATTTAAATAATATATTAAATATTTTATTATAATTTAAAAATTATTTGTGACGTTAAACCTAAAAAAACGTAAGTATGAAACGGTGCTACTCTCAATCATTTCCACGGTCATAGTTGCTGGGATATTTGTGTCGAACTGTGACATTATTAAGATTAAATTTTAATTTAAATAAATTAATACATATAATCAAGTCAATTAGCCAAATGATATCATTTGCATAATGACATACCAAATAGCAATCAACAAAATCATATTTTCGAAGATTTTTATGGTTAAGTCTGATTTAGGATTGACAATAAATCAGATCAAGGTAAATTTTTATTTGTCTCAAATTTGATTTAACTTTTATAATTATAAAATCTGAATTCGATCCGATCAAAAATTTTTTATTATTTTTTATATCCGAATCCGATCAGATTCGACATTATATAAATCATACTCGACTCAGTTCGATCCGAAATTAATATAATATTATTTTTAAAAATATAAAATATTATTTTTTAAATATAATTATATATAAATTAAAAATTAAAAATAATAATTAAAAATAATTTTTAATATAATATCGAGTCAGATCGAGTTTACCTAAAACATGAACCCGATCCGATCCGACCCTAATTTTTTGTTAATAAAATCCAATTCAACCCAACTTGAAATCTAATTTTTAAAACAAAAAAAAAATCGATCTCGTAAGATCGAGTCAAATCAAAATCCACCGGATTCAAGTTGAGCAGTAAACCTTAATATGATCACACAATATCTATCAAGAGAACTTTTTTTTTTTTCGCTATTTTTACTTTTGATTTGCACAAAAGAACGTAAAGTTGTTTTTACTTTTAAATCAATTTGTGTGTAACAAATATTAAATGTTCAAATTTTAGATTATTAAATAATTTTTAATTATGTAAATTTAAAATGTAGAAAAAAGTTTTCCTTTTTTTAGTCTATATTTGATGTATATACTGTATTATATAAGTGAAATCATAAAATGACACTTAATGAAAAAACTAATTTTAAAATTTTAATTATATTTAATTTTAAAATATATTTAAAATTAAAATTTTTTTATAAGATGTTGTATAATTCACTGAATTTTTCAATTCTATCCTCTATGCCTAATTTAGCCCCAAAAGAAAAAAAACAACGTTTTAATTCTTTTTTTTTTTAAAGCAATGCCAATAAATAATCTATAAAAAAAATTTGCATTTAACCATAAAAAAAATCACCGATTCAAATGTTTTTGTTATGCAATTCTTTGTTACTCGAAACTTGCAGCAAGGAACCTTTATCAATCTACAAATATTAGCATCTGTTTTCCATACCTCTTGGTATGAATCAGTCTGTAACACTTGTCCATCGACAAAATTCGTTTGAAATCCTGGTATACTCTTATAAAAGGTAGCTTCCCTTGGATGATTTAGTGCCTTTGCTCAAAACCAATCATATCATTCGTATCCTCCGTATGGGACAATAATGAAAAAATTCATCTTCGTGGGATATCAACAACTTCAACTGGTTTTCCTTTCTCAAAAGGAAATACCTGGATTGCGGAGAGGGAAATATAGAGAAAAACTAATTTTTAACTAGCATATTAAATGAATAATATCAATAATTATTTATATATCATTTTACTTTAGTAATAAAAGTTTCCTACTCTTTTGGATAGGTATTAAATCACTTTCCAAAGTAATGATTAGATTACTTTCGGTTATCCAAAATCATCACCAAGTGTTTATCAAATAAAGTGATCCAATCACCATATATAAATCACAATAGTTTTTAAGATGATCATCTCATACCAAATACCACCTAAAAGCAATACTACATACCACTTTTGAGAGGGTATATAATTGTATAAATATAAGGTCCAAAGAAAATAAAATACAACCATACAACTAAGTAATATTTCAACAATTAATGGGGAAAACTTGTACCAAATGTTTGGACCATGGTGTCTCTCCCTTGCAGGGTTCCCTTCATTATCTGCTTTTAACCATTATATCTTTACCTGAACCACAAGAATAATCAAAATCATGCAAATGTCTTGTATCGAACGCAATGAGATAACCTTCATGTTATCTTGGAGACATGGTATTTATATCATTTTGGAAACAAACTGAAATCCGACATTCTTGAATCACCAGTAGCAGCAAAGTAGCCCCCAGCTCTACATGATAAAATCAAAGTAACGGCAGAGCAACAGTAGTTGAATATTTGCAATTTATTCCAGTACCCATCGGTGCCCTAAATATGCTTTTGCCTACCAAATAAAAAAGTAGGACCAGCCTTAGAGGATTATTTGAAAAGAATTCTACAAGAAAGCAACAGTAATCACATTAGAGCCAGTATCTCTAAGCATTAAACCAAGATGTTGCCCGTACTTCAAAGAAAAGTGAGCCAACTTTTACAAAAGCATTAAAATAAAAAGGTTAATGTCACGAGTGATCCCAAAATTATAATAAAATATTTAATGTGATATCTAATTTTAAAATTTTCTAATGTAGTACCCGAACTATAAATCTGTTAACTAATTTGATACTCACATCTAACGCGATTAGCTTCAAACGATAACACGTGATGGATAAACAAACCTTCAAATACCACATTAATTAATAGATTCATAGTTTAAGTACAACATTAAAAAATTTTAAAGTTTAGATACCATTTTAAATATTTTACTATAATTTAGGGATCATTACTTATATTAATGCTTTATAAAACAAAGTTGTTATATTCAATTTAGAGGCCTGTATAATATCAGGGACTTTTTCTCTTTGTTATTTTTTTTTCCCTTGCACATGGTACACTATATGAGAATATATGAGAATGACAGAAAGTTGAATATAAAATGCAGAGTTTTACTCTGCAACTACAAAACCAAAGAATATAAAACTATTACATAAATACATTCCAAGTGAAGTGAGAAACAAATACAAACACAAAGACTGCAAAGTTGAATCAAAATGTTGCATATTATAATGATGAAGAGATATGTAACAACTAAAGAAAGATTATTCCAAAAATTTCCAAAGTAAAAGCCACATTAAATTTATACGCTATCTATGAAGCATACTTAATCCATTTAAGACCTAAGAATGAACTCAGCCAAAACATGATTAAATCACAATGCAAATTATATGAATATCAACATACAAATCAAGAGAAAGTATAGGCTTTGCAATGGGTTAACCTATATTGTAGCAAGGCAAAATAAGTAGTTTTGCCAATAAATAGAATGATCAAATTGATGATTCCATCAACTGAACAGTTCACTGGAACCTCAGTAGTAAATTAATTGATTATAATTCTCCATATAAACAAGACATATACCCTAAGAGCACCTAGCTCATCAAATCATGATTATTCTGCAATACTCAGAAAGCAAACATACCCGGAAGATAAGACAATAAAAAAAAGATAGTTAAACTAGAAAAACTCATAGCAGTTGCAGGCATGAAATTAAAAAGTAAATGGCAACTGGAAACTTATTGTAGATAAGCAAGACAACCTTAATTGAGTAGTTTGTTTAACCCTCAGCCCTCTCACCCCCACTTCGCCAAAAAAAAAAAAAAAATCCTACTGCAATTGTTGTTAATCTCATGCCAAATTACCAAAAATGAAGTTTTCTTTATGCATCAAGTATAGCATGACTGCAATAAATAGAACAAACACTGGACAATATTCAAACTCTAAGGGGTAGTTTACGTAAAAAAAAAAAGAGCAATTAAAACATTCTTCTGGAGAACATAACACAAACCTTAGTGATGAAGATGAACATGTTGAGGTGTTTGAGAACCCAGTGAACACATTTGAGTAGGACTTGGTCAAATAAGAAAAGTTGGGAATTGGAGGTAAAGCAGGCACCCGTTCACCTTTCTTCAAAAGCTCTTGCAAGTTGAGTCTTTGCAGTGTCAATACAGCCCTTGATTCCTTCCAAATGAAGGCAAGAAGACCATTTTGAATGATGAAAAGTGAGCCAGGCTTTGAACCGGGATATCTAAAACCATATCCATTTGCAATACCCTCCCCCATTAAAGCTTGCTTAACATTCACTGGATGTGAATCAGCATCACTATCCCAAGGAAATGGGTCCAGTGAAGGCTCATCAATATTCACTATGAACATTGCAGAACCATTTGGGTGAAGAACGTAGTGGGTGCCTTCCAATATTTTAGTTGCAATAAGTAGCCGTTTTCCCTCTGTCTCTTCATAAGAGAGCAAAAGAAAGAACAAAGCCTTCCCAGGCTTGTCTTCAGTAGGCCTTCCTGGAGGCCAACCGAATGTTCCTCCCCATAAACCAGCATACTCTTGGTCCTCCCTTGGGACCCACATAGGCAGCTTGTAAAGAGCAAACCGGGTATCATGCATATTTGGCCAAGCTCGATAAGATGATAACTTCACTTTAGAGGCTTGTAATGTCAGCCCTATAGTATCCCCTGACTTTAGAAATTCATGAAGTTGAGCATGCCTGTACTCACTGCTAGAAGAATTAAATTTTGAAACTGCTCGACCACCATTGACAGAACCAGACTTCCGAAGAATTTGTTTAATGCTAGTTCTGAAGTACCCACCTATACTTTTCCTATTGTTTCCATGTGTCTGGCCATCATCCCCATTCAGAGAATTTGAGCAAGAACTAGAACGGTCAAAGCTCTTTCTAATGTCATTGAGTTCCAACTCAGTAGGGCAGCCAGGCATCTCATTACTCGCCTTCAAATCAGTGCAATCATGATCACTACCAAACCTATACATCTGCAGAAGCAGTGATCTTCGTTGCAAAAGAAGCAGCAACACGTCTTTTTGGAAATTCTCCACATCTTCCCTCAATCTAGGAAATAAAGGCCCACTTACAGAATCAGAGACCTTTTTACGAACTTGGCCAGTGATAGTCTCAAGCAACTTTCTTCTGTCACCAAAAGCCAACTGACTAAAAGGAATCACTGCCTCACTTTGTCCTAACACCTGCTGTGAGCTTGATAAACCAATATTAGATCTACAAACCTTTCTTGAAATATCCTCATTGGAATGATTAGCAAAGTTCTTATTAGGGAACAATTTACGTCCATTCCCTTTTTCCCTAGGCTCAACCTCAAGCAATAGCACATTGCAATTCCTCTCAACAGATTCCACTGAACCAGGATAAAAATAGTCAGATCCTTGCTCCCTGCCATGCAGAAGAAACGTGGTAGAACCATATAAATCACCAATAATTTCAAACACCGGAGCCCATAAAATGGGGCCATCCTCAATTCCTAATGGACCAAGCTCTTGAGGAATTATTCGACAGCCAACAACAGAAACAAAACCAGGCATTACATAGACGACATTGCCAAGCTCTGGATTCTGATGAACCCAAATCCCAACTAATGGCTTTACTCTAACGAGGAAGCGGCAAAGCGCCTTATAAGATGACACACCCTGCCTCCACTCCACAAGGTCCCTTGCAGGCAAGATTCCAACTACATCACATTGACTGAGCCAAATCTTTTCAGAGTCTACAACTGGACGTAGACTTTTGCAACATAGACTGAGATTACATATGTCCCTTGGCGAAAGGGACCGCGATATAATGGAAAATACATCATCAGGTAAAGCAAGAAACAAGCTAGAACCACAAGTTTCTGGCAACATAGCAGTATATCACTTATTTCTTCTTGGGGTTATCAAGAATTTTTCCAAAATTTTTCCAAATTGAGCTACAAATCAATATTCATGGAAAAACAGCAACTCTGATTCTATAAATAAATAAATAAACAACAAACAATTAGCAGAAAAATTAACAACAAAATCAGAATTTAGAGCAATCATGTTAGACACCCACCGAATTCTTTCTATAACAAAGGATAGATAACAAATAAAGCTCAGCTGCTCACAGTATAGCGTAAGACTAGAGTGATTTCTCAAGTCGTCGCCACTAAATTCAAAAAGTTTAAAGCACCTTTGGCACTTTTCTTTTTCAGTTATGAGGGAAATGAATGATGGACGAAAAAATGGGGGTGAGAAGAAAGAAGTCTGTTTCAACTTTGATGTTGTGGTTGCCAGCAAGCCAACCAATATTGAATTTTTGAGCTTCAAAAAGAAGCCAAAGACCCTAAAAGCCAAAACACTCAACATTATTCTCGCACTGTTCCCAGTCCAATTATCATTGACTCTGTGGAAAATAGATAGTCAATGGTTGGTGGTGTTTCTCTTTACAAAAAAAAATTAAGTTAATATTTGGTTTGGGGTGATCATTTTAAAAATTATGATAATATATATATAGATTAAATTATTATATTTAGTAAGTATTTGATAATTTTATTTGATGATGATCATGAAATGATCAAATCATTGTCTTAAAAGTTAATCTAATTTTTATATAAAAAAGTGAAAACTTTTATTATCAATATAAATTGATATTTAAAACTAATAATAACCAATTTTATCAATTTAATATGTGATTTAAAATTTTATTGTATCTTAAAATTATAACTATTTTATATCATAAAGTTTTATATTACAAATTAATATTTATTATAACAAGTTTAAAATAATTTATGTATTTTTTATTTTTTAATTTTTATAAATAATATAATTTTTTATTTTTCTTTTATTATGAATTTAATAGATTAGTTTTATTTTTAATTTAAATATTTTTTTACATAATTTACATTATAAAAATAAATTGATCTATCAATAAATATATTTATTAATTTAATAATTTAATTATGTTTTACTATAAAATAAATAAATATAATTAATATTTTACAAATTATTATCTTTAAATAACTTTAAAGTTATTAATTTGTATAACTATTACAATATGTATGATTATTTTCATACTTTTAAACAAAATAATTTATTTTTTAATGATACTAAACATAGTGATCATTAATTTTTAAAAATTAATCATTTTGTTAACTAAACAAAATAATTTTAAATCACGAGTGTTAAAATCACTTTGATAATAAAATCACCTTGTAATCATATTATTATAGTGATCCTGTAAAAGATATCAAATGATATCTAAAAATAATTTGATCAATTAAATTTTTAAAATGTTTTATTTCAATTATTTAATTTAAGAAATAGCTTTTGGTAAGTGTTATTATTTTAAAGGTTAAATATAAAAATGATCTCTATATAATAAATCTTTTAATTAATTAGATATCTAAAAAATAAATTATCGGTTTAATAATTTAACTTTCATTTCACTACCCACTTTAATATTTCAAATTAACGTAAATAGTAAACTTGATGATGTAGTATAAACATCTAATAACACGCTAACAAATGTAAAAAAATCAAACTAACATTATTTTCCAAGTCAATATTAAAAGAAAATTTCAAAAATATTTTAAAAATTCAAAACAAAAAGTAAAAAAAAAAAACTTGAAATATCATTTAACAATTATAAAAAGAAATTAAAAATATGAAATATTTTTAAAAATTATAAAAATTTTAAACAAAGTAATTATTTAAAAATTCAAAAAACTCAAAATTTCAATAAAATTTATGAAAATTTCAAAAATTAATAAAATAAATTTTTTAAAAATTCAAAAAAATTAAAAAAATCTAAAAATACAAAATATATATAATTTTTTGAATAATTTGAAATTTTTAAAAATTAAATTTAAAAAAACTAAAATATTCTAAAAGAATGATAAAAAAATTAAAAATTCTGAAATAAAAAAATAAAATTTTAATATAAAATCCAAAAGACTCAAAACTATATATATATATTTATTTATTTATATATATATTAAAATTGTGAGACTAAAAAACGAAAATTTTTCAGAAATTTTAAAAAAAATTATATTTTTTATTTTCAGTTTTAGTAAGGTTTTATGAATTTTTTAATTTTAAGAAATTTTATTTTTATATAATTTTTTTAATATTTATAATTTTTTTAGAATATTTGGGATTTTTTAATAAAATTTTGTGTTTTGTTTTTTTTGAATTTTTCAAGCTTTCATAATTTTTTAATTTTTAAAATATTTCAAGTTTTTAATTTTTATAATTTTCTAAAATATTTTGGATTTTCCAAAAATTTTAAAATTTTTTAGAAATTTTCTTTTAATACCAACATGACAATTAATAATGTGATATTAATTAAATTTTTTAACACATATCAACATCTTATTTGATATTTATGCTACATGAATTAGTTGACCAATAGTATTAATTTCAAGTGCAAAAAAAACCAATGATGAAATGAAAGTTAAAATATCATATTGATAATTTTAATTTTTTTATACCAAACTAACAAAAAGTGTAAAATATAAAAGTTATTTTATATTTAATCCTTATTTTAATCAAGTCTTTATTTAGCTATATATTTGAATATTTATATAGTTGTGTATTTAACCTTCGTCTCACAATTCATATAACATGCTAAATATAAATTATATTTTTTATTTATAGTAAATTTTATATAATTTTTATTCAAATTTTAAATTATATTATTTTTATATTTTTTATTATTTTCATATTATATCACTGAATCGTTTATCTATAACTTTTAAAAAAAAAACCAAAAGTAGAATTTCTTGACAAAAGCATTTATAAGATTGGGCGAAGGGCATCAAGTTATCAGATTCAAATGCCCATATTTGGTATTACATACGAAGGGGTTTTATTTACACTCCCTTTTTTTCTCTCTATACCTTTTATTTTACAAAAAAAAAAATTGTAAATAAAATTAATTTATTATCATTCTCAAAATTTTTTAAATATTTATATTTGATAAATTTTATAACTTTTCAAAAATCCATTTTTGAAATGTTATATAACTTATTGAAAATTCATTTTGCAATATGAAATTTTAAGAAAAATTAAAAAATAATTAAAAATTTTAATAATGAGTTTAATGAAAGAAATTATTATTAAAAAAGTTTAAATTTAAAAATTAATAAAAAGCTAATTTTACTATTTTTATTTAAAAAATAAAATATGATGAGACCTTAATTAAATTAAAAATAAAATACTAAAAGTAATTTTTTATAAATTTAAAATTTATCATTTTTTAATAAATATTTTTTCTTAGTATCATTTATTAAAATTTTATAAAGTTCTAACTAAACTAAACTTTTTGAAAAATTCTTCTCATCTACTTCTAACAATAAATTTCTCTAATTAGCATATCAAAATTAGATAAAATTGTATAATATTCAATAATGTTACTTACATAATTTTAATGAATCTCAACTTTTATATGCTAATCAAACTTGATAATTCTTCTATTATAATTCACAATATCAAAAGATAAAATATTTAATTAAAATCTCATAAGATTTTGTTTTTTTTAAAAGATCAAAATAGTAAAATTAACTTTTTTCATTAATTTTAAAATTTATGCTTTTTTTTTTTAATAATAACCTTTTAATTTCACTAATTAGTTAAAATTTTAATATTTTTTTTGTTATGTTTTTTAAAATTTCATTTTTTGAAAATTTGTTTTCAAAAAATTTTATAACTTTTCAAAAATATATTTCCAATAAGTAATATAAGTTTTCAAAATTCATTTCAAATAAATTATAAAATTTATCATATATGGATAATCAAAAACTTGTGAAAAAAAAATAATTAAGTAATTAAACTTTAAAAACAATTTAATAAATAAAAATTAAGGGTATGAAGAGAAAGAACGGAGATTTGAATAGATCCCCTCTCCCATGTGACAGCAGCAAAATTGAATATTTGAATTTAAAGAGCACGTTGATTTGATTTCTCTTTTCTGCTTAAAGACATATATTACATCAAACACTGATAATTTGAACCCAAATGTAGAAAAAATAATGAAGTGAAACTCAAATTCAAAGAGAATTTAAATTCGATTAATTACAAAGTAAAATATGAGAAAATTGAATCCTTGCTTCACTTCAACTAAACGCCAAAATGGTCCAAAGTCTAAATCCTAAAACAATCCCCAATCTAACATGCTTATTTCCACTTCCAAACACCAAAAATTCACTAATGCACCCACTCGACTATTTTGATTCAATGATAAATACATGCTAAAGTATATTATCATCTGACCAAAAAATCAAGTTCAAATTTCCTTAATTATTAAAAAAAGATCCAAAAGACGTAACCAAACCAACCCGGTTCAATTATAGAAGACAATGATCCAATCGCTTCCTGTCCCAAACCAGTAGATGATCTTGATAGATTATTAAATTCCAGGATTCATTTTGCAAATAAATAGCTATGCAGAATAGCACCAAAAATAGATGAACCTATCAGCAATTATTACATCAGTAGAATATAATTCTAGTCAGCAAGGAGTTACCTGTATTATGGCGTCAACTTCCCAATCCCATGCTCATACCAAGAAAATGAAAATTGCAACATGGCATTTATAATTTCTTATGAATAAAAAACCTTATCCAGATTGATGAAGCACATTCAGTGCATCCAAGAAATTAATGTGACAAGACTGGCGGCAAGCTAATATAGTAATGATATATGTGGGCAGAAAGTAAGCAATTTCAATAATCACCATCATATGTAAATTAAACAGGTATTTATACAGATCCGTACAAACGGACATGAAAATAATTGACCGCCAAACTCACCCCATCACGTTTGCAATCATGGGAATAAACAAATGAAAATAAAAATATGAAAAGAGGTGAATAAGGCAGCCAGGAGATGCTCATTAATAATGGCAAGTGGCTCATGAAACAGCCACGACGTTTTGTCAAGCAGGCAGTGGTTCCTCCGTAACTGTGTTTTCAAAAATTGTCATGAGTTTAAATTTCTCAATCAAGCAAAGAGTGCATGCATGTGAGATGTTTGTGCAAGTATGGGCATTTTGGGAGTGAGTGTGTCAGTGTTGGTATGTGTATATATGTATACATGTATATATGTATAGGGAGAGAGAGAGAGACCTCTTCTTTTTGTGGAAATTTCAGCTGTCGCAATTTCAGCATCATCTCTAGCTGCATTAGAAGCAACTGGTTTCTTGGTTGGCACATCAGGAAGATCCAAATTTTGTTCTTCAAATTCTGCTTTCGTAGGCACTTCTAGCATATCTTGAACAGCCATCTAAGCCAAACATACACAGTTTGCCATTGAGAAAGAGACTGATTGATGGAACTATGACATATGCTCGTAAACAAAACTAAATCCCAAATGACACATTATACAAAAGACCCTCACATGTTTATACCACAATAAAGTTCCTTTCTTTTTTCATAATAATCAAATCAAAAGGAAGAAATAAGCCAACCTTAACATAACAAAAAAGGTCTAATCTCAGGGTTCAACATATAATCTCATAGTAATATGGGCAAAATACTCATAAAACAGTTATAATATGGAATGGTATAAGCATAGAACTCAAACAAGCTCATGGTAAAGAGAAAAAGTTATCCAAAGCAAAAGCCATCCTACCCTTTGTTTAGTAGCAAGCAAAAAAAAAAAAAAAAGAGAATAAAGAAGCTACAAACATATCACACATGTCCCTAGCCCCTAAAGACAGAATTGGCAATGAAGTGGCATGGAGTTTGGGAGTGTGGGGACTGGATAGATGGAAGGAGAAACTCTTTAAACAAATGATTGTGAAGAGTATGGGACAAAAATGAATACAAAAATATTTTTTTTCCTTTCCTACATCAAATTGGGTATTTCCTTTCCTTCACCAAATTTGGTATGAGATATGAAGAACCATATGGAAAGTGCTAGCAAGGAGTGTTCCTTTGGCTAGGGTAAATCAATAGTTGAAGAGGACTGCACTTTCATGGTAGAAAATGCTCAAAGAGCAACATATTAGGCTGCAAAAGTCTAATAATTGAAGTTGGAAATTAATGAATGCCAAATTGAGAAAGCAATTTCTCCAGGCTGATTACATGATGAATTTCTATGAGCCCTTTCATGACTTCGCAAAAGAAAGTATTAAGAGTGTAAAAATACACTCTCTATTGGGCTTAGACATGCTATCAGAAATGAGATAGAATCACCTTACATATTTGAAGGATGCTAACCAATATCATCTAAGAGCAAACAATTGTGGCTCAGTATGGTGCTAGAAAATTATTGGAATCTATAAGGAAATGTCTCATTTTAATAGGAGTGAGCAAATGGTTAGTTTGGTTGTAAAATCAACTTAACCAAATTTTATAATGAAAATAATAGAATTGATGGAAAAAAGGGAAGGAAACCAAAAAGACTGAAACAGAATATTCCGGTCGATTCAGTCATGTTAAGAAATCACTAAAATTCCACTGACTAAACTCAAGAGCCAGCGCCACATATTGAAAGTTGTTGAAAAATAACTGAAACCTCAGCCGCATTAAAGTTAATAAGGCCAGTCTCATAATACTAATGGCTTCATTCATTTACAATTTGTTGTCCCCCTTGCATTCCCCTGTATGCCCTTGTCCCTTGTCTTTTATTGGGTGCCTCCATAGCCTTTTGGGAAGGGAAGGAAAAGTTACTAAATATAAAAGGGAGAATGTGGAGGGAGTTCAGTAGAGAAAGAGAGAAACAAGGAAAACAAAGTTCTGTAAGTCCTGTAAGCTCTTTCTCTCGAGACTAGGCTTTGGTTATGCACCCACAATCAAGATAACGGGAAACAAACAAAATCCTAGCTGAGTGGCTTGATATAGTAAGTTGGGTTTTGGGGTCAGACTGACCATTGTAATCTATGTTCTTTGACAATGACTTTCTTCCTTGTTGTGCTCATGGACATAAGGAATTGGTTCTCGAACCACATATATTGGTGTCTTCTCTCTTTATTGTTTCCTTTCTTAATTGGTTATTGCCCTAATTTGATCAGCCTAATTTCTAAGTTAGTTAATATGATCATCTTCAATTACACTTAAGGGGTTTGGATTGGTATTGCCCAAGATTTCTATGCTTTGCCTACAATCTTAATGGTGCGTACACAACCAAAGCCGGAACTGAGAGAAGTACAAAACTCATAAAACTTCCTTTTTCCTTTTTTTTTTTCTCTTCCTCTGCCAAACTCCCTCCACATTCTCTAATATTTACAAACTTTTCCTTATCTTCCCGAAATGCCATAAAGGCAACCAATACGAAACAAGGGTACAAAAGGGATTGCAAGGGGGACAACAGATTGTAAATCACAGAGCCATTAATCATGTGCGACCAGCCTTATTAACTTTCATACGGCTGAAGTTTTCGGCAATTTCTCAAAAGATTTGAAGATATGTCATCAGCTGTTTGAATTTATTGGCTCAAATTTTCAGCCATTTCTCAACACCTTCCTGCCTGTTTTATCCCCATGAAGATGAGATCTAATATGATGTTTATCAATGCAGATGCCTGTCATAGTTTAGTGGGTTGGCAATAAAAACCATCTACTCAGAGGCTCAATAGGGAGCTTACATAGCATCCCATGAAAAGCGATTTCATTAAAAGTAAATAAAATTAACAAACCTAGCTATTTTCTCAAACCCTACAAATTTGCAAAGATAACTATAAGAAATTGGTCATTGTTCTTATATTGCTGGAAGAATTAATCTAGATGCTTCTGGATGCCACCAGCACATAAAGCAGAAATGTGTAGGTAAGCTAAAAATTTAATAACTAGAGGTTTAGCCTGAAAAAGGTATTGTTGCAGCTGAGTTTTCTCCACCTTGGACTTGACATTATAGTAAAAGTTGCATGTGTACATACATAATTACATGTGTGCCTGTGTCATTCATTCTAAGGTAGAAGTAATGTTGCACAATATTATTCAATCCATTTTTAACTACAGTAAGTTCTGTTTTAGGGTTTTATGTCTTTTTGGTTTATTTTCTTTATAAGTTGTTTAGCATGGTTGAGAATAGACTTATTTCAAGGGTTAGGATAGTTACTTATAAGGGGTTTTTTTTTTTTATTTATTTAAAGTAGTAGCATTTTTTTTAATGAGTAGTTCCTCTTTATAATCTATGAATCAGAACAGATTGTTTTATCAATTTCATGGCACTAGAAACAAGAAGGCCAAGCCTCCTGTGTATTTCACCTCTATTCCTCCATCCCTAATTTCTCTTACTCTACCAATTAAACAAATTTTACTTTGGTTTCCTTCCAACATGAAACAGGGTAAAAGCAATTGGCAAGGAAAATGGAAAATGGAAAATGGGTTAGGCAACTGTTGTAAGTCATAAAATTTTAATGTTAATTTCTATTTTTTTACAAATAATCCTAGGGCTATGTTTTTGCATATTTTTGGAAAAACTCATCAATTAATACTCCTATAAGTTTTGTTTAATTAAGTGAAGAAATTAAGATTTTCTGTGACCACAACCTAAAGGATAAAACAAACCATAGATCATTCTTTATTAAATGAAATTGCATTTTTACCAGTTATAACCGAAACAAATACCTGAGTTTCCAAGTGCTCAAATTCCGCCAAAACCTCCTCTTCATCTTTAGCTGATAATTTCTCCCCCAAGATCGCATTGATTTCCTTCAAAATCACAAATATGGCAGCCCATTTCAGGAAAAAAAAAAGAATGGAGAAGAAGAGAAGAAGCTGAAAGCCCATGTGAAGAGGAAATGCTCAAGTTATGATTTAACAGACAAAAATGATATACCTTTTGCTAGATAAAGAGAAAAATAAAATTATCACCAAAAAAGAAAAATATGAGTGATTCTTTAAAAAAAGGATAACACATGGCTTATTCTCCATTTTGTGCATGGTTGTCTAAAACCATAAGCGTAATATGTTTACAAGCTTTCAAATAACCTAAGTTATTAACAGATATTTAGAAGTATATTATCTGAAATATTAAAAGAAAAACATATCTAAGAGAAAAAATGTGAAAAAAAACTTCTTGAAAATGACAGATAAACATAATGAGTCCTGTGCAAACTTGAATTCTACATCATAATCGCAACCTGGTAATGCAAGCCTACAATCTCTAATGTCATGAATGGCCTTTGAACTATAGTGAAATGTTTGATGTGGTACTTGAACTTAAAAATCTCTAATGTGGTACCTAAACTATGGATTTGTTAACCAATGAGGTACTTAGAGGGCTGTTTGTCTACTACATGTCATCATTTCGAGCTAATCATGTCAAGGGTGAGCACCACATTAGTTAACATATTCATAGTTCAAATACCACATTACAAATTTTTAAAATTCAGGTATCACATTGAATATTTCACTATAGTTCAGGGGTCATTCATAATATAAACCCTTCAAAAATAGATTGGCATGCCCCCATATGCAACTATCTGACGGCACGATAAACCACTTATATAATGAGGACAAATACTTGCTGACAAACAAAGAAGAAGGAGAGTGAGGGAGAAAACAAACAAGAGAGACCTACATCAAGGATCATATTTCATTCTAGACAAAGGAATCAAGATGAGTAAGAATTGAATTGAAGCTCACATCTTGATAAGCCCTAGCCTCTTCGGTGTCATCCATTAACTTCTGGACATCATCTATGTTGATCTCACTTTGTATTGCCTTAATTGCATTGTTACCTGTTTTCAAACTCTCAAAAACTGCTTTTTGCTTGCTTGCTAGTTCAATATCTGCCAACTGAAAGAAAAATTAGTGTTTTAATCTATCTAAAGCATTTTTTAAAAGCAATACTAGAACCCCAAAAGTAAGGTAACAAATTGGAGCTCATGTCGATTCTAGATCGATGATAAAGACATTGTAAAGGATTGAGTGGATATTCAATCAAACTCTTATACTACTTTCTCATAATATATATATATATATATATATATATATATAACATTAAACAATGAGAAAATTGAAAGAATTTAAACAAGGTAGCTGCATTTCAGATAAGAAATGAAATCATCAAATACTATGATAATTCAGTTTCACTTACTTGTTGCTCGACATTAATAAGCCATGCGTCAACTTGTTTCAATAAATCTTCTTGGGCTTTCTTCTTCTTCAAAGCTAACAAAGCTCTATCCTTTCTCATTTCACGAATCAAGTCTCTAGCAGCTTGCTTTTCCGCTCCTATAACATTCTCAAGCTAACAAAGGAAGAAAAATATAAACAAATATGAAGCTAAACGCAACATAACAGAAATTCAAAAAAGAAAAAAAATGAGACAGCAGAGAAACCTGCCGCTGGTACTGTGCAAGCTTGCGCCTCTGGGTCTTAAGGGAGAGAATTGCTCGATCAACTTCGGTGATCTTGGGTTTCTTCACAAATAAATTCCCCATTTATTACTGATTAATTGCTCGGTTCACGTCAAAAAACCCTAACCCTCACCTAATCACTTGTCTCCTATTCTCTCTATACGGAAGAGAACCCAAATCTCTACACCAATCAGCCTTAACGAAGGAGGTACGACCACAAATCTCCGGAGACGATTTTTCCTGTTATTTTTGTTTTCCGTCCTTTTTTTTCTCCTGCTATTTTTGCTTTCCCAATTACCCAATCTCTTACTTTTCCTGATATCCTATCTTTTCCAGCTATTTTGATATTTCATTTCCATTTTTATGTTTCTCCCTCTTACCTTACTTTGACCCTGTCTCTCACATAAATCAATTTTCAAAATCAATTGTGGACTAATTTAACATCAATAAAAAGTTAAAAGTGCATTCGAAAAATGTTGTGAAAATCATGAATTAATAATTTTAAGCATTTGATATGGTTGTGAAAATTTAAAATATTTTCAAACATATGATATTAAGGCTCCGTTCGGTAAGTAAAATTTGGCTTCTGAAAAAAATATATTTTGTGGAAATTCAATTTTAAAAAAATCAATTATTTGCAATTATTTGGAAAAAAAAAAATATATTTTGTCATTGTTTGAATCACTTTGTGGAAAATATTTTTCACCATAACACATTCAAGCTCAATGACGGGATGAGCTAAAGAGATGAGGAAGCTCTCGTTCCACTCGGGGTTATGGAGTTTTTCAGACACATGTGAGAGCCACGATGATTTGGGTTTTGAAATTCTATAATTTTATAATTTATAAAAGTATTTATTAAATATTTTTTAAAAAAAGTAAAAGAACAAAAAAATAAGTAAAATTCAGAAAGTGAAACAAGGTAGCCAACGGAAATGAGATTGTAAACCGCGTATCATTTAAGTGTGTTTTAAAATAATAAAAAAATTTTAATTACTTTTTTATTTAAAATATACAAAAATAAAAAACGTTTAATATAAGTAGATCTTACGCATTAAAATACAATTTCTACAAATATGTATTTTTTATAATTTAAATTTTTTTAAAGAAAAAGTAAAAAAAAAAAAGGAAAGAAGGCAAATGAAAACAAAGTAATATAAATGGCCATTAAGAAAGTAACACATGGCACACTAATTGATGAGCGTTGTTCATCCATATATTAATAAAATTAATTGTAAGGATTTAAAATAAAATTCAAAAAAAGGAATTGTTGTATACCTTTGCTTTTCAAAAGAATGACTTGGTATATCTCGTCTCATTTTTTTTACGATAAATTATATAGATATATTATGAATTAATGTGATTTGAGTTTATTTTTTAGGTTTAAAAAGTGACATTTAACTACCATCAACTGTATATTAACGACATTTCGTTAGTTTTCATTAATGCTATTAACACTTAATCAATAAACCCTAATTCTTTTCTCAATTTTTTTTTTACTTTTTTTCATATTCAAACTTTTCAAAGAAAAATTGGACTGAAAGTATGAATTCTTCACAATGTTTAGTAAGTGAGGGATCAAATATTAGAAAAGTATACTATTATGGTATGTGCCACTAGTTGATCTTTTCTCTTCTTCCTCTTTTCATCTCTATTTTAAAAACTCAAAAATTTCCAAAAAATTCAAAATAAACTCATTGAAAAAAAATCTTTATTGACGAATTGTTATGTATTATGTGGATTTGTTGTTGTTTTGTGAGTTTATTATGTGTGAGTAATTCAGGATGGATTTGAGTTCTGTGAGCTTTTCTAGTGGATGTTGGGTTTGTTTTTGGGACTATTGATGGTTGTCCTTAAAAATTGATGTGGCTGTCGAATGGAATTAGTTGTTTGTTTGATACTTGATACAAATTTTAAAAGCAAAAATTTCATTTTCGAAAAGGACACAAAACTTGAAATTTACATATAAACAAATAAGTTTTTGAAACTTTCAACAAAAAATAATCAACACAACTAAAAAACACCATTAACAGAAACACCCAAAAGCAAAATCAAAATTTTGGGTCTTGGTTTAAGATTACTTTTTTGAGTTTGTGAAGAAGAGTTTTTTTGTGGTTTTGGGTTTAGTTATTTAAAGAGAGAAATCATCTGATTTTAGAGAGAGAAGATGAATTGAAGATGAAGAAGAAAAAAAATTAAAAAAAAGTAACAATTTTGGGTAAAAATACAATAAAACAAATTATATGATAATTAAGTATCACATTTTAAACCTCGAGGGACAAACTTAAATCACATATAACTGCAGAATATAGATATGTAATTTACCATTTCTTTTAATACACCAAAACTTTGCTCAATCATAATGCATAGTGATGAATGTGAAATATTAAACACCTCATTTTTACCAGAAAAAGATTTATCTTAATGAAAATCAGGTAAATAATATTGTTCTCTTTTATATGACCCATGAAAACTTTTTATTTGAGGATATCTATAATCAACAAAATAATATTGTCTTTATGTGTTATAAAATAAAAAGTAAACAACTTATACTTTATCTTAGTAAAATAATAAATAGAGAAATGAACATATCATTTGGTGGGTGAAAATTTTAATTTTAGATCTCTAATTGCATTAAGAAATATTCTAGTGTTATGTGCTAATCCTTCCCAGCTAGCTATTATAAATGTGAAACACATAATAAAATCACACAACATTTTGAGTTCAAACACCTTTTCTTTTTATTTAGAAAATTTGTTAATGTGGTGGAAGGATAGCAACAACATATGTATCATTAATTGCACCTATGCAATCCTATATAAATAATCATACTAATCTTCACAATTATAATAATAAATAAATACATAAAACTATAGTATTATATTCTTGAAAATTTACCTTTAAATTTAGCATATATCTAAGATCATTACATATTTGTTCAGGTATTGAGCTAAGTGATCTATCTTCAAATGCACTATATCAATGGCCATTCTTGAAACTTTTCAAGTATAATTGCAAAATTCTAGCTTATCGTTGCCATAAACCTTTGAAATCGTTTTTGACATCTATAATTTTTTACACCAAGCGCCAACACATACAAAAAGATAGTCAACATCTCATAAGAAAACATTTTTTGAACTTTGCAAATTGTATTGTGTTTCTAAAACCTTCAACAAACTTTTGAATATAATTGTGGACATTCTAAAATTAATCATGCAATGTCTTTTATGGCCATCAAGAATTCTTCACACCCATGCTTCGTCTGATTGTTTCAAGATATATATTTATCATAATATAACTAAATAGAACAAGTTGCAATAAGTAATAACCTATTAAAATTTTTCATATGTTTTAAAATATCTTTCCTTCTCCTTTTATCATCGAAATTGTTAAGAATACTATTACTTATATTCATTACTTGTGAAAATGTTTTAAAGAAGAATGCTTAAAATATTTGGTAAACAATCAAATTGTTTAAAATAAACCAAGCATTATAGAAAAAAAATACATGTAGATTAGTAATCATAAATATATTTGAGTTACCATAAATATAATAGATTTCAATATCACCCAAACATAAATAAATTCATTAAAATACACATCAACATTATAAAAAAGAAATCTATGGCACTTAAATGTATATAATGAAAAACAAAGATAAAATACAACAACTAAAAATAAAATTAACTAAGACATTCAATATTTCATCTCCTAAGGTCTAAGGAGACTAAAAAACTTAGAACTCTCATCCATTTTTATTTTAAGCCACCAAACTCTAATCTCATGAGATATTAATAAAAATACAGTTCATTTCTCCTTATTAACTAATAGCTTCAGAGAGAAAAGTAAAGTTTGTTGGCTTTAGGAACTTCATCTAACAAGTTATCAAGTACTTTGATTACTTATAGAATGCCCTATGGATCCGTAAGTAGAGTCATACTAGAAGTAGCTTGACTCATATTATCAGTTGCTCTGGATAATTTATCTATTAGACTAAACAATTTTAGAGCTCCTCTAATAGACTTTGATAACTTTTTTTACTAGTTATAGGATAAGAAAATTTTGGATCAATGAATTTTCTCTTTTGGTGTGATTGTTGCAATGCTCTTGAAGTTAATATTGAAGTTCAAAAGTTTGATCATTTCTATATAAATCATTTGCATTCAATAAATTATCTACTATTTGATTGGGCATATAAACATCATTCATTACAACTTTTTTTGCATGTCTTTTAGGTGTCAAATTATTATCCTTAGATAAATTGCTAGGAAATATACTTGAAGAAAGTACTCATGCTTTGTCACTAACGGCAACTAATCCTATAAACATTTGATCTAACTTGCCTCCTAATTCAAGATCAATACCTTCAATTCCATAATTTTAAGCTTTAGGCATAATCTTTATATAAGTTGATGGTATAGTAAGAAAATAAGAATAAATAAATAAGAAAGGTTCTAGTATAAAAATTTTTAATATACCTTTAGCCTATCCTCTTACTATTTTTCAAAGGCATCAATTGTTCCTTCTATAGGATTCTACCCTAAACTAGTATCTTTCCCTTTAAGCTTCTTCCATGCTTTTCATTGTTTCTTCAATAGATCCCACCTATTTTTGAGTTGTTTCTATGAATAAACATTACTTTATGATTCTCGAATTTGACAATTATTCTTAGCTATCTTTTTTTTTTTAAATGAGTTCTAAGTTTATTGCCATCAAAAATTTCTTTAATACAAAGATCACAGAATATTATTGCCAACCTTCTATCTCATACTACTTTTGCCTTGTCATCTTAGAATGTTTTAGTAGCTTGAACAATCTTGTTAACCTTTTAGGTGAGATGGTGATCCAAGAGGGGAGTGAATTGAATTTTTTCAAATTCTTTCCTAAAAATAGATTTCAATATAATTCAATGGAAGATTAAAACCAATATCAAAATATGATGTAAATAATAATAAATTGATGAACTCAGCAAATATAAACTATAATCAAAGTAAAGAAATAGGGATAGAAAAATCAAATACAAGGATTTGTAGAGGTTCGATCTTTCTCCACAATGCAACTACGTCATTTTTCTTAGTTGTCTGCACAAGATTTCAATCCACTAATCCTAATTGAGAATATAACCCTATCTTTTTTTTTATAAAGTTTAAGATAGAAACCTCTATCCTTACACAATTAAGGGATATTTCACCCTTTACTTACAAAACAACCTAAATGATTTTTAAAAATTAAAATACCTTTAAAGGTTGAGTGTTTGCTTAATAAAATACAAAAAAATTTGATAAATGAACAGCAACAATGATCTGGATATAACAAATACAAAGATATAGACTTTAAAGCTCTAAAACTCTTGATTTCTTTGAAGCATAAATATATAACTTATTTGATCTTGCTCTCTTAATTCATCAATTATCTTATTTGTTGGAATGCCCAATTTATAGAGAAATTGAATAACTAGCCGTTGGAGTTGGTTTGGAGTTGAAAAAAATGTTAAAGCTTGAAAAACTAGCCTTTGGAGCTTTTCTGGGCATAAAGGATCGATCTTGTGCCTTACCTGATCGATCCTTTTTTGCAGGGGATCATCCATTTTGGTGTTTTTCAAATCTATTTTGTTTTTGTAAGAAAAATCAATCGATCTATTACAAGAGAGGATCGATTGGTTTAGTAGAGGATTGATCTTGTAACCCAGGGGATCAATTCGATCAAGCTGAGCGGTTGTCTCTTGTTTTGCACTCTACTCATTAATTTAATCATATCTTAAGTTATAAAATTCAAATCAAAACCGTTTAAAGATTTAAAAACTAGACT